TCATCTATTCAAAGCTCCCTATAATCGCTAGGCCGAACTCGTCGGTTTCTAGCCTGATGACGTTGCGGATTCACAGGTTGACGGAAATATGGCGAATCTTCTTCCCGGGAGTATGGTGTGCTGAAAGCCGTCCGCTGCTGATTTGAGAAATTGTTCATCCCAGAGCTTGGTCCTTGGAACCCATTCTGGGGCATGGGGAACATCATTGAAGGGTCTCCATTGAACATATTGGGAAATCCGTTGGGCATGCCACCATTGCTTTGATCGAATATTCCAGCTTGAAGATGATTGAAAGGCATATTCATGGGATTCCATCCCGGGCCCATGCCACCGGGAAAGCCATTGGCAGACGCCATCGCCATGGGGTTCATAAACCCCATGGCTTCATTCCCGAATCCAGGGGCCGAGAAAGGCATCATAGGCATACCTTGCATCGGTCCAAAGCCGTTGAAGGGCATTTCCTGATTATTAAAATTTGCAGTAACGACTGGCGCACCGTCTTGGACGCTATTAGCCTGGGTCGGAACATCGGAATGACCATCATCTGCCTTCTGTTTCTTTGGCACGTTACCCAGCTCGGAGTTTGTAGTTTCACTCCGGCTGGTAGGCTCGTCCTCAGCGGATCTTTTCCTGGATTGTGTGGGCGCGGTCTCTTGGGTTTGATTGAGCGGGCTCTGCTCTTTGTTGGTGGAAGAGACTTTGGGCTCGGTTTCGGGGACTTCGGGGACAGGAGTACTATCCGGGCCTGTGGGCATCTTTTCCTTCTCTTTCTTGGCTTCAGCCTTCTCGGCTTCATATACCTTAATTTTTGAGGCGGATTCATCATCGGGAGTGAGGTTATCAAGTAAGACCCCCTCTGTAGCACATCCCGGGCAAACAAAGTCACTTTCAATCAAGGCATTTGAAATACAGTCATTGCAATATGTCCTCTGGCAACACGGTGTCTTTGTTGGCTCTAAAAACATCCTCTTGTCAATTGGACACTCCAGACCCCGAGCTTGCAATGCTTTGCTCTCCTCGGCAGCTGCTGCTTCAGCTGCCGCTGCCGCCGATGCCTTCGCCTTTTCTTGGTACAGTTCCCAGGCTGCCTTGTCTGGCTTTGCAATGACAAAGTCACCATCAGCATTCACCATGACCCCTGTATTCCTTGAATCTTCAGTGGAGCCATCGGGGGCCAGGGATTCTGGTTTCTCGACTTTGGTTTGAAGTGAACGTGGTATGCCAGTTGATCGTTTGACTCGATATTTGCCGTCGAACTTTGGGTCGTTATTCGTAGGGCACGCTTGGATCCAGTGGCCTGCGTACAAAGGTTAGCGGTCTGTGGGTGTGGTTGATTTAGCCAGAGGTGCATACCTTTTTCCCGACAACGATAGCAAAGATACCCTGGAGGCGGAGGGTGGTCAGGTACATTGACGGGTTTCCCTCTGCCACGACCAAACGGTACGGGTGTTGCGCTAAATTAAATCAATATCCACATAATCAAAAACATCCGGGTAGAGTGCTCTTACTTCGCCATCTCTTGTTGTTGTTCCTGCCATTGGCTGGCTTGCAGGTTGAACAGAGCATTAATCTTCTCTTCTTCTGTTTGGGCATTATTGAGTTCGAGGACGTTGTTGTTCACGGATTGGCCCGTTCCGGGTGTTACTCGGCCCATCGAGGGCTCGTTGCGAGGGGCACTGCGAGCATTGACTGGCATCTTGCCAGAGACATAACGAGCCGCACCGCCCTTACCAGGGCGCGCTGCAGGCAATCGGCGGGCGATCACGGAAGTCGACCGAGGGATTATGGTGGTGTCATCGTCGTATTCTGTTGAGCGTCAGATAAGCTTACTGCTTATCAGGAGCAAACGAAGCATATTGGAATAGAGTAACATACCCTCTCTGGTGTCCTCATTGTAGATTGACAGCTCAAAGTCACTCCCGTCGCCCAATCTACTTTGGCTGATAATCTCTCTTTTGAGCTCAAAGACCGAAATACCAGTGCCATCGAAGGTGACCCTTGAGGGTTCTTTCTGGGACTTGAATTTGAAATGAACGGATGATGACATTGTATTCAATTTGGGAGGGGTTGATGCAACAAAGATGGCTGTGGGTTGTATTAAGACCCAGATTTAGGGACACCGTTAGGGACACCGCCGCCGTGTACAGTGAGCAATAGGGGATAACAAAGAGGGAAGAAAAGACTCGTGAGATGAAGTGAAACTGGCGTATCACCAGTCACAACAAAGAAAGGTTGGGCAACAGATGTTATCTGTTCAAATCACAGAGAAAGCAGGAGATAAATTTTTTAGAAGAAAGCAGGGTTCAATAGACCACTGAGACAATGGAATGTGAATGAATCTTTTTGAATGCTGAATGGTGAGTGTTCAGGTCACTGCATACAAATGGAGATCAAAGAATTGATGAATACGATGATCGAAGGAACACTGGCGCTGAATAAAAAAAAGGTGTATTCAAGAGAGATTTGATGGTCTGCCCCGTCCTTCAAGTGATTTGCAGAGCCACCCTAGCGCCCTGACCTGTGTCAGACCTGTCTGGAGATCCTTGCGAGACACCAAATCCAGTTATAGAGAGACCTGTTAGGAATGAGCAAATTCACTATCAAAACACCGAGACCGAGATGTCGCAGTTGTTATGTAATGTGGCTTGCTGACGACGGCGCAGAGTATCCTCAAAGTGTGAAATAAAAGACCCAAGTTTAGAAAGAAAGCAGTTAGGAGGAATAATGGGTGCCTAGGGATGGGGAGGGTGGGATTTTCGTGCACCGCAGGTATTGAGGAGAGGAGAAGGTGAAGTGGCAAGTGAGGAAAAGTCAGATGATTTGAATATGCTTCCACCGCCTGGTAGACCGCTTTTTTGATGAGTAATGGTTAGTACCACGTGACCGTCTGGGCCCCAATGGTATAGCTACCACATTTAACAATATGTGTGAAACTAAAATAAAGTTGTATGTTATTTGTTTAATCGTCATTATCTAGCTACCTAATGTGATCTGAGGGGCTGAGGCCCCTGAACTATCCAGGGCATGGAATCCATTATCTCAACTTGTATATTAAACTGTTTTTGTGTGCTTCATTTGAACTGTATAGTATCTTGGCTATGGGCTCGGCCCTCATGCTCTCTATTCTCTATTCTCATATAAAAACATAAAAATTTCAAAACATGCCTATATGAAGATATCACACCTTTGACGCAGCCGAGTCTTTAGATCTCAGCCTCAAATTGGCGCACCAGGAATCCCTCCGTTTGAAGGTGGTCTTTCACTTGAGACACGGTATATTCACCGCGGTGGAACTGGGACATGGTCAGAAACTCTGCCGTGAGGAATACTTGGAATAATGCAAACTTACCATTCCTGCTCCCAATGCTGCATCAGTGCTGGTTTTGTTGAAGACCTCTGCAAAGTGCGCAGGTACGCCAGCCCCACTTGAAGCAATGACTGGAATCTTAATCGAAGCTTTGACATCTCTGATCAATTCCAGATCAAACCCAGCGTTGCTTCCATCTTTATCAATGCAATTCAGGAGAATTTCACCAGCTCCCATGGCCTCCACAGCCTGGACAAGTTGCCGCACATCGATATCGCGCGTTTCTCTGCCACCTTTCACGGTGCACTGGTACCAGCAGAAGCTTTGCCCACTTGAGTTGGGGAACTGGGTCTTAATTGTATGGTGGTGGGTATCTTCTGGCTTATCCACATATACCCGCTTGGGGTCGACGCTCACCACAACGGCCTGCTTTCCATAGGCCTTTGATATCGTCTCGATTGCGGTTTGGCCACTCAACTTCTCACCGGCCTGGTAGTAGTCCTCTGCGGCAAAGACAGAATCAGAGCCAACGCTGACTTTATCGGCTCCAGACTTGAAATACATTGTTGCCACATCCAGAGCAGGGACCCGGGTGCCATCAGTGTCGACGGTGTCTTTGATTCCTCCGCCAATGGTCAAAGGCACAAAGACTGTCTCCGATGTTCGTCGTAGAATTTCAAGCATGGGTGTATCAGCAATGGGGCAGTTTCGGAAAGAGGTGATGTTCAAAAAGGTCACTTCATCCGCTCCTTGTTCGTAATATTTTTTAGCCATGTCAACAGGCTTACCGAGGTTGCGAACGCTGCCGTCGGCGTCTGCTCCACTCTTCTCTCGGACATCATATTGGTCACCCTTGGTAACAACCAAGTCACCAGAGTCGTTTGTCCGAACATCAAGGCAAGCAATAACGCGACGAGTGAGTCCATTTTCTTTGCCAGTGACCAGGTCCTGTGAGAGTGACTGGAATTGATCGCCGTTCAAGAATGCGCGGATGGCCCGGAGCCCAGCCACGCCACTCTTTTCCGGGTGAAATTGGGTGCCAAAGACATTACCCCGACTGATAGCACCAATGAACTCTTCCTCGCCATACGTGGCTGTAGCCACAGACCAGCCGTCACTTTCCAATACACCCGGGTTGTAGAGGGCCGCATAGGAGTGGACGTAATAATACTTGCTGGTCGGCCTCAGACCATAAAAGCTTTCATTTTTTGCGCCATTGGATCTAGTGTTGATTGCAGAATTCCATCCAATGTGCGGTACGCTCTTCGAGGTGTCGTTGAATTTTTGAATGCGCATAGGAATCACGCCAAGCCCTTGAACGTCGTTATCCTCCTCTGAACCCTGGAAAAGGGCTTGAAGACCAACACAGATCCCCATAAAAGGCTTCCCCGCTTCGATATGCTGCCGGATGGGCTCCAAAAATCCTCCTTTGTCCAGTTGGGAGAGACAATGGCCAAAATGGCCAACGCCAGGGAGTATCAGTTTCTAAAATCCGATTGTTAGCGATGGCATGATCGTGAGCCAGCCATGGTGGAATTGGGCCGGGTTGTTTGACTAACATCAGCATTTTTCACATCCTCCGGGGCTTTGACCCATTCGACATCATATCCGACTTGGTTAATCGCATTGACCAACGAACGGATGTTTCCCGCAACGTAGTCCAGCAAGTGGACGGTAGGCATGGCTGTAGAAACTTAGGCTAAAAGCACAATGGTAATCGCAGCTGGAGGCGAGAAACGTATTGGACTATCGAGATCGAGCTACCAACACAGTAAAGAATGTAGCTGTAAAGACAGTCGAGGGGTTCCTCGAGGGCCCCGCCAAAATTCGGACGCTGAGTCATATCTTCTTTTTTTCTGCCAGACAAATGCGGAGAAATAGGTACATTGGGGTACTTCTGTAAAGCGTATAGTTACTATGTAATATAAGTTCTTTTTGTACCCAATAAGTACCTGTGAGTCATATGTGGAATATACCGGCCTTTCCTCCTACTCGGATTCACTCATGATGACAGGCCAGTTCCATTACCAGACGGTATCATGAGTGAATCCGGGACGTTTTAGTAGGAAGAAAGGCCACTTCATTACTATAAGTAAGTATTGCGAAGGTGGAGATGTTTTCTTTAGACAGTAATAGTCCTAGAAATAGTTTTCATTAAGGACCTCCCCTTCTATTGCAATGTTATCTGGACGAGTTGCTTTGTACACTAACTTTGGCATATCCCTGAGTTGGTACAATTGTTTACCGATGCAGGTGCATGCGCTCAGATTGCCGCGCCTCCACTATCTTATTGTAGGTTATTGGTTTTCGGTTGTGGCTGGTCTCTCAGGCGCCTGAAGATAGATGAGTCCATTCGTAGGCTATAATCTTATAGTCAGTTATGCATAAAAGAGGTGAGGGTGTATAAGGAAGATCAGCTACCGGGTGGAATTGCCGTAGCCGTACGCCTGCTTCTTGTAAGATAGCTGCACTCTGTATATTCAAATTAGACTAATTAGGAGCCTTATAATGGACAAGGATTGACTTACGTCGTTATCCATGTTATACCCTTGAGAGTAAACGACCTCAGAAATTCCAACTTGGGCTATTTTGACAGTGCATGTCAAGCAAGGACATCTGCAATCCACAGTAAGATTTTCCCTTTGGCATAATTTATTGAAGAATGAAGTGGACTTACGTATCACAGTAGAGGATCGCCCCTTCTCGAATCCGCTCTCGGCCTGCTTCCAGTAATGCGTTTTCTTCGGCGTGAAGGCAGAGACAGGTCGAGAGGCCGACTCCTCCACCGTCCCCGCGATTGCAGCGTGGACCTATAATGATTTCTAGTGAGCCAAATGAACAATAGGGACATTGGGGTCATTCAGTTCTGGCCTGCATCATACATCCACCTTGGCTGCAGTTCTGGAGATGCCGTGGTGTCCCATTATATCCTGTGCTGATGACACGACTCTCTCGAACGAGCACACATCCCACTCTTCTTTTCATGCAGTTGCTTCTTTGAGCGGCAAGAGAGGCCAGCTGCATGAAATACTGGTCCCAGTTTGGCCTCAACCGTTGTTCGTCTGCCAGGTCGAGGGTTTGCAAAGCCGAGTGTAGCTCTTCAAGGGACGATGTGGAGTTGAATAGGCGCAATTGGGCTTTGTCGGTCAAGTATACACGTCCAATATCCTTATCGTAAAGATTATGGTCGTTCCACATTACGAACTTTTCGAGCTCAGGCGGATCCAGTTGTCTCCTCCAACATCTGTTTTTTTTAAAATAAAGAAAAACTGTCAGGTTTCAGGTTTGAGTCACATGTATCATCACGAACCTGTCGGCAAATCGTTTCCATCGGAGGCTAACAGGTGCATCGACGCTCACGAGGAGGAAAAAGGGACGCAAGAGAAATCGATCTAGGGTAGTGGCATCTGCAATGTCTGTGGTAACCCAGCGTTCTTGCCATCTTTTGGTCGCAAAGTCGAGTAGGGAGTCGGCATCTTGGAATGTAAGCTCTGACGACTTGGTGTCTTCTTTCTTTCTGATCTCCGACGCTTGCAGCCGCAGGTCATCCCCCGACTCAGTGATGTAGGATTTGCCGGCAAGTTCAAGAAGCTGAAACCCTTGCTCAATCAGGTACTCAGCAATCGCATGTTTGCCAGCGCAAATGCCTTTTTGACGTATATCCTCGTTAGTTTATCCGCTGTGGGGTGAGGGGCTTGTTTGCGACGATTATCTGCTGACCTCCACATAAGCCGATGAGCATTTTCAGGTGTTTAATAATTGTATAGTTGGAAAGACGAGAAGAGAAAAGAAAGAGAAGAAGTAGTGGGGCAGAGTAAACGGAAAGTCGCGACGCGACCTTATCGGCCTGAGCTTATCGGCCTGATGTGATGTTGAATATTGGGTAGCCCTGGAGGTATAGGTACATACATACATAGACTACATGCAAGTACATAGCTACAAATATAAATTATCAGACAAGTATAAGGGCGTACATTCGGCGCCTACCGCGCTGGACTGTGGGATGGACCTTGCGCCACTCATCATGGCTTGTCCTACCGCGGGGAATGAAGGTGGACGGTGTGGGAGTGGGAGTTGCGCGAGGAGCTTCTGTTGACTCTGCAATAATAGTTTGCGCATCTGCCTGAAGTTCGACGTTCTAACTGGAGCTGATTTGGAAGCTCCGCGTTCTGTTGTTCCGCCATCGCAGGGGACCATCGGGATCGTCACGGACCCCTCGGCGTTGACGGATCCAGTTGGCGACACTGTTGTTGTGGCAGCATCCTCGGGTTATGCGGAGGCACCTGTCTCCATAGGTGACAACAGGTAAGGGTAGAATGAGGCGTATCCTCTCACTAGTGTATGGCTTCTGTCATTCAGAATGGGGAACGGGAAAGGGTAAGAGGTGGTATCAAATGTCGCGGTTCGAGTGTTCAGTCTCAGTTCATTTCACTCCTCCAAAACTTAAGCATGAGGTAAGATAACGCCGGCCTCAGAGATTTTCGGGCCCTAAAGCTCTTGGTGGTAATGAAACAAATAAGTGCAGAGAGGTCAGAGGTAAATGCGGATAAATAAACCTTCCCAAGGTCACCCCCGCCCCTCTCGTGACATCAGACCCTTACACCTCCTTTTGACACCTTTTGATACTTTTACTCCCTCTTCCTCGCCTCTTAACCGTTACATCCAAATTCCCAAGTCTGCATCATTTGGGAACTTCATAATCAAGAGTCCCTTCTCTTCTCTTTTCCCCTGTTCCTCCAAGATGCAGTATGCACCGTTTGCTTCCGACATCGAACTACCTTTCTATACTTCACTAGCTTCCCATAAGATCAATCATGACAAACTAGACGACTCTGCCCGGCCCGTTCTGGGACTATACGAAATTCGTCCTTCTGATCCTGAGGCCACATCATGTCGAATCCAAATTCATGGGAACGCCCTCACCAGCAGCGAGTAAGATAAAACGAAACGTTTCTAAGAGTCCTTCTAACAGCGACCTAGAGCCCCGGCTGGCTATTACAGAGCAGAGGGCATGATCAAAAATGTCAATACTGTTGAAGAATATCGAAACATGGATAGATCCCATCTGCTTCATCAAGCTGGACAAATGGTAGGAATAACCATAACCAATTGCCTGGCAGAGCGATATATACTAATGAAAAACTCCAAGATATGGGATGCCATCCACGATGGAACAATACTTTCATGTCCCTCCTTACTCTGCAGCTTTGTGATTGTATCTTTTGCGGACCTCAAAAAATACAAGTTCCACTACTGGTTTGCTTTCCCAGCAATCCACTCAGATCCTCAATGGGTCCCCGTGCGACCAAAAGATCAAGTATCCCAGCCACACCAGGATCATGATATTGACAATTTGAAGGGAACACATTTATCTCCACGTGAGAGCACTGCCTTACTGGAAGCGGTGCAAACATGGTCATATATGGTGGATCATCGACAACGAGGGTTTTTTTTGGCTCGAAAATCCAGACTGCGTTCCGATGCATCCTCAGGCGATCCCGAGACAAAGAGCGCGCAACAGGACGACACATCAAAAAGCAACTGGCAGATAGCGTCGCTTTCCGAATATGAAAATGGGTTTTTCAAGAATGTCGCTGCTGAAGACTGTTATTTCTGTTTTTCAGACCCATCAAATTATGAACAGGCACCAGGGTGGATGTTACGAAACCTGCTCGTTCTGATCAAACAGCGATGGGGCATCGAACGGGTGCAATTGATACGCTATCGCGACGTGCACGCGAAACGTGATCAGGGACGCAGTACAGTAATTCAGCTGGAGTCAAGTTCAAAACAAGAGCCTCAGGCCCCGAAATCACTGCAAAGCCAACAGTCGTTACCGCTGCCAAAGGTGACCGGCTGGGAACGTAACTCGACTGGGAAACTCGCTGGCAGAATTGTCAATCTTACAGAGTACATGGATCCCAAGAGGTATGCGTTAATTTGGAGATATCCAACCTGAAGACTTGATCAAGGAAGCTCATTTTCCCCCCCCCAAAGATTAGCAGATCAGTCGGTGGATCTCAACCTCAAACTTATCAAATGGCGGATCAGCCCGACGCTCGATCTTGAGAAAATCAAGCACACGAAATGCCTCTTGCTAGGAGCTGGTACATTAGGTAGCTACGTCTCCCGGAATCTGCTGGTATGTGGACGTCAACTTCCGCGCTCGAAAACAACTTGTTCTAATTAATCATCGACTATATAGGGCTGGGGTGTGAAGAAGGTCACTTTCGTCGACAACGGCACCGTTTCATTTTCTAACCCTGTTCGACAGCCACTATTCAATTTTGAAGATTGCTTGAACGGTGGCGTCAGAAAAGCACATCGAGCATCCGAAGCCCTGACACAAATTTACCCAGGAGTGGAGAGTACAGGTCATGCGCTCTCGGTCCCCATGGCAGGCCATCCTATTGTGGACGAACGGGTGACAAGAGCCGATTTTGATCGTCTTCAAACACTGATTGATGAACATGATGCCATCTTCCTCCTCATGGATACCCGAGAATCACGATGGCTACCCACGGTGATGGGGAAGGCGGCAGGGAAAATCGTGATGAATGCAGCCCTAGGGTTTGATTCTTTCGTGGTGATGCGCCATGGTATCGTGAAGGATGAAAAACCAGCTGAGCTTGGGTGCTATTTTTGCAACGACGTAGTTGCACCAGCTAATGTAAGATTATCCAAAGGAGGGACCTGCTTTATACAGAACTGACTGCCGGGTAGTCTATCAAAGATCAAACTCTCGACCAGCAGTGCACAGTGACCCGCCCTGGAGTGGCTCCTATAGCCTCTGCACTTTTGGTGGAGCTTTTTGTGTCACTCCTTCAGCACCCCCAAGGCGCTGCCGCACCGGCCCCCATAGCCCGCAATACCGAGCGTGATGATCATCCCTTAGGCATTGTGCCCCATCAAATACGAGGATTTCTCTCCAATTTCGAGAACTTGGCTGTGACCGGCAAAAGTTATCCGAGCTGCAGTGCATGCTCGGACAAAGTTGTCAGTGCATACCGCGAGCAGGGTTGGGACTTCGTGCGAAGAGCCCTGAATGAACATGGCTATGTTGAAGAATTGAGTGGACTAAAAGAGGTCAGTCGGTGCCTATAAAACAAGCCAATCCCAAACTGACACATAGGAAGGTTCATGAGAAGGCGGAAGCAGCACTAGCCGATATTGAGTGGGATGAGGCATCTGACAACGAGGAGATCGAGATCCTTTAGACAGACAACATTGTTCGGCTCTTCGGCTACAACGCGATCTGCCGACGTGGAAGTCCGAAATAGCTTTGATCTCACGATTTTCGCTCCAGGCCAACGAAAAAGGCCTCCTTGGATTCCTGCCAATTGCCTTAGTCGTTGAGTGTGTATAAATTGGATAAGGGACATCATACACTGCGAGATGATTCGGGTTTTAGACGATGAACCTTTTTGAATAATTCTTTCAGCTGCTGCTCCAGTGCTTTGTCTTCGGCGCCTTGGTAGAATTTGCAGACGAAATGACCGCCTGCCTTCAGAACATCCGAACTGAAGCGTAAAGCCGCATGGCAGAGATCCTGCGTGTAAAGTCAGAAGAGTTTCACATTTATGAATGGAGTAACAATTTTTCATACCATGCTTCCAGCATGATCTCTGAAACTGACACCGCTGGTGTTCATCATCCTGTTATAAGGAGCACTTAGACTTCGTTTCCAGAAACCGGAGGTCTGGAACCAGGGAGCAGACATATCGCTGAGAACCACATCTACCGTTCTTTCAAGTATTTTATCGCCCTTCATACCCGTCTTCTCAGCCTCGGCGGCGCGTTCAGTATCCGAATTCGGCTCCAATAAACTGACACTGGAATCGTCCAGAAAGCCGGGTCGGCGCGGCCTGCCTCTGTCTGGACTGCGGAGAAAGTCTCGGATGTACGTTTGAATTTCGGGTGCGAGGAAATTGCCTTGGATTGTAGACACTCCTTTCGGTGGTTGGGCTGGGATGATATCGACACCGAGGACTCGACCATGCGGTTGGGTACGGCTTGCAGCAACCTTTTCTGGCGGTTAATCACGGTCCATTTAATAGCGAAAGGGAAGGGGATAAGTAAAAGGCAAAAGAAGAATGGTCGACGCACCTGCGACCATGACCCCGGAGCATAACCCTAGATGCAAATTAAAAATGGTTCAAGTTCAGGTCGAACGACTAGCATACCAAGTCAACAACTGTCTGTCCACCCTTGAAGATTCGATATTTCTCATCAATCTAACCACAGACACCAGTGCATCAGATCAATCCAGGGAAATAGAGTAATGTCAGTGCTGGATTACCTGCAGCAATTTGAAAGCAGCACGGCTTTTCAGCCCTTGGACAGCTGCCTCTCTAGTGAACTGATCCTTTTGCTGCCGGGCTTGCCAGCGCTTGGATGATGCATGTCTTGCTTGACCGATTGCCTGCTTATAGCAGGCATTCCGCCAAAATCGAATTGGATGTGAGGCAAACATAATGCGAATTGGATAATATCAGGGGAAATACTTGGATTCCCTTGAGAGCATGGAGAGCTTTATTTTCTGCCGGCAAAACAGAGAGCACCGCTGAACCCTCAAGTCGGACAGCTCTTATCGGCCTCGGATGTTTTTCTACATGCCTACATGTATATATTAAGTCCACCGTGTAAAAATGTGAGGGCCGGTTAGAGTCTGTGCCAATAGAAATGAATTGCCGCATCTTTTGATATATCCATTAGAATCGTCTGCGGTCTTTTTTCAAGGGAGAGAATCCCATGGGCGCTGCCCCAAGCCCGAGCGCCCGTGGTAGACTAGTGGTACTAGGCTGTGTTTTACTCCCCAATGTTGAAGTCCGACCATTTCCTATTGCAAGTTTTCTCCCAAATTTCTTGTTGGGCAGAAGGTCTTCTTCTTCCTCCTCGTCCTCGAACAAACTTCGATCCCGCTGACCACCAAGTTTGCGTTTTTTCGGCTTGGCTTGTTCATGCTCAAACAGCCCATGTAATTCACCGGTCTCAGTCGGCGGCACTCTGCGATCTAATCGATGGGTTGGTTTCTTGGCCTCATTTTCGGGCGGTGATATAGGCATTGTGCCATCACGTGCTTTTGGTTTGGTGGATTTTGTGATTGGAATGCGGTCTTCTGTTGGAGATAGTTGGCGCCGGAGAGCAGAACCGATACGCTTTGGTCCGCCAAGATCGCCCTGCTTGCCGAGTAGACCATGAGGAGTGTCGTTATCTCCAAGAATCTCGTCTTCGTCTGCAACTGAGCTCATTGGCGAATCGGAAGGTGCCCCTGTGCGGTTCAAAAATGGAGTGATAGAAAACGCCGACTTATCACCGGGCATGGCCGAATCCTTCTTCAATTTCTCCTGTACACGCACAGCCCCAGGGGTTGCAATCGTCACGCCGGCATGGCCGCTCGGGCCAGGGCGCTGAAGTGGGACGGCTCGAGAACTGGATTCAGAATTATTTACTGCCTGTGATTTGAGGCTGCGTCCCTGCTGAATTTCAATCTGGGCTTCATGGAACTTGTCTTTGGTTAACTGCAATTGTTGTTTGAGCGAATCAACTCTTCCTTCAAACGCCGCCCGCTGATTGGCCCATGCCGAGCTCTGATTGTGACTGTCCCGTTCCTGCTGCTGTTTAGCTCGTAATTCTCCCGCTAGCTCATTCTGTAACTCTTTAACTCGAGCAGAAAGCTGGGTGATCTCTGTCATTTGCTGTGATGCCTTGGCCTGAGTACGTGCATGGGCATGTTTTTCATCGTCAAGTTGAAGCTCCAGGGAGTTTATCTGCCGTTCAATCTCATTTTTCTGGGAAATGATGGCTTGGTATGATGCGTTTTGCGCTCTGAACCGCTCAAGCTCTGACTGCAAAGTCGAAAGATCCCTGGAGAGATGAAGTTTCTCCGCGAGGACAGTATTGTAACTGGTCGAATTATTTTTCTGGGCCGAGAGTTCTTGCTATTGCTGTTAATATAACGGACTATGCGTACGGTCCCCAGATTTAGTTAGGACTTACTTTGAGTCGGTTAATCTCACTCGAGGAGGCCTGTGCTTGAAGCTCCAAATGATCAATTTCCTGGCAAGCCTCCTGAAGCTGAGCACATGCCTCTGAATCGGCACTGGTGAGTCCCAAAAGATGCGCATTTGCTTCGTCCAACTGCGATCGGAGAGTTTCGTTCTCGAATTTCAAGAGCAAGAGCTCCATGCGTCGTACGCGATCCTTCTCGCCATCTAGAAGACGACCGGAATCTGAAAGAGTCTTCTCATACTCCTTCTCCAGACGCATAGTCCTCATGGACATTTCAAACTGCATGGTTAATTTAGCATCTTGAGCATATCCCATCAACCCAGGGAAGCCACATACATCTGAGGCGGATGCTTCTTCGGCCATTGCCATGACGACAGTATCCAGAGGAAGACAGGAGCCCTTCGATATTAAAAAAAATAGAACGAAAAGGCTATAAATTAAATAATGTCTGTCCAAAAAGAAAGGAATACCTAGGTAAGATATGTGGTGTTTATATCCAACCTTGGAATGCTTGTTCAAAGTATGATATAAATCGTCACAAAGGAAGACGCGCTGGTGTTTTGGCGGGCCCGGAACATATTAAGTAAGCCGATATGCCCGGCGCCCGATTACGTTGATAGTGGACACCTGGACTTTATCACTCAACGTGTTCAAACATCTTCAATTACAACCGATTGATAGGTTTTCAATCAATTGAACTTTATAACTAACCTTTTCGAAGCTGTCCAGCTCCTGTCATGCCAAAATGAAGCTTTGGACGGCCCTTTTTCTCCTTTCCTCGGTCGTGTCTGGTGTCCTGTCTGCAAGCTCAACGGAGGACAAGTTTGCAACATACCAATCCCTGTCTCGTTCGGGACCTGTTGATCTAGACAGTGCATCATATGAAGACCTCACATCTACACCTCGAGATTACTATGCTGTGGTTATCCTGACTGCCACGGATCCTCGCTTTGGCTGCCTCCTATGCCGCGACTTCGAATCTGAATGGGACCTGATCGCCCGAAGCTGGACCAAGGGCACCAAGCCTGACGACCTCAAGGTGGTCTTTGGGACACTCGACTTTGATAACGGCAAGGCCGTTTTCCAAAAGGTAGAGCATTTTTACTCGAGACTGAGCTATATGACTTGCGACTAACCCAAGCAGCTCATGCTTCAATCTGCACCCGTACTCCTTGTCTTCCCTCCTACCATCGGTCCCTTTGCTAAGGTTGAAGGGAATCCCCTTCGGTTTGATTTCACAGGGTATGCTTTTCTACCAAGGCTCTTGCGCCCAGCCCCTATCTCAACTAACATATCAATCCCAAATAGCCCGATCTCAGCCGACCAGATCTACTCTTGGATTGGACGTCATTTGCCCGAAGGCCCCAAGCCTGAACTAGTTCGACCCATCAACTACATGCGGATTGTATCAACGATCACAATTCTGATGGCAGTTGTGACTGCGGTTACGGTCCTTTCTCCCTACCTGCTGCCAATTATCCAGAACCGAAACCTTTGGGCTGCAATCAGTCTTATCGCCATTCTTCTGTTCACAAGTGGCCAAATGTTCAACCACATCCGAAAGGTCCCATATGTTGCTGGTGATGGCAAAGGTGGCATTAGCTATTTTGCCGGTGGATTCCAGAACCAGTTCGGGATGGAGACTCAAATTGTGGCTGCCATCTGTAAGTGATAATCCTGAGGCTCATTGATACTGAGCGTCGTTTCCATGCCGAGTTCCTAGGTTAACATTTTGCTTTCACAGACGCTGTCCTCTCCTTTGCTACGATCGCACTCGCACTGAAGGTTCCCCGGATGGAAGATGTCAAGGGTCAACAGCTGGCTGTCTTGATCTGGGCAACTGTCCTTTTCGCAACATACAGCTTCCTTCTCAGTGTCTTCAAAACCAAGAACGGTGGCTATCCATTCTATCTGCCTCCGTTCTAGAGCGTTCAAGAGCCTACTTGCTCAACAGCCCGAAGACAGCAACACCTGGAAACATATTGATTGTAAAAACGATCATTGACATCCCAGTGGCTAGATCTCCAGGGCTTCCTGTGTATGACGATCGACAGAAGTTGACAATGATCAGGACCACTTGGAGGAAACATGGTGCTTTGCGGATTTTGACCCATGGTGCCTCTTTCTCTTTGCCATGAAAATTTTGCATACCAAAGACATCACAGAAGGTTCTTTTAGAAGTAGATAGTTTCACAATTAGCTTGTAGCTATACCTAGCCAAGCAACTATCCCGGGGGAGCCTGTGGAATTCAAAGTAGATTATAGATATATTTAGATGTATGGTATGCCTTTCAAATGTTCATATATGTCAGCTTTCGATTCACCTGATATCTCCCATTTTTTTTTAGAAAAGACAAAGTTAAAGAGAACGTCAGGTCCTGGATTAGGCCCCACCAAGGTGTCCTTTCCTTTACAACCCCTTCCCATATAACCCTCCACCTAAACGTTGGCTTGAAGTCTTGGTGATTTTACTCTTTTGAGACTTCATTGCACGCACTGTCATAGCTGGGTCGGATTGCGGGCATGGTGAAACCTGACGATGCCCTTATGGGCAAGATTCTGGCGTCGTCAGCCACAGGCACAAGCTTTTTGATCTTGATTCAATTAGCGTCCAGGATCTTTACCTTTGCCTCGAACCAATTGATTTTGCGTACGCTTTCGCCGGTCGTACTGGGAATAGCAGCACAACTGGAGCTCTTCCAGGTTTCGGTCCTGTATTTCTCGAGGGAAAGTATTCGGATGGCTATCCAAAGGCAGCCTATGCCATCTTCGCCTGACAATACAAACCCTTCCCTTGAATCAGATACTGTAGCGACGGATTCGCAGTCCGTGGCATCTCAAGCAGTGGTGAACGTGTCCTACTTGAGCCTCGCCCTTGGAATTCCTTCCAGTCTCATCTTCACTATGCTTTACCAGCGCATTGTCCCAGAGGAAGCATCAAATACTGCCTTCTTTTATCACAGTGTGATCTTGATCGGGGCTGCATCTCTCATGGAACTCAGCACCGAGCCCTTTTTCTCGGTAGTGCAGCAACATATGCTTTATGAAAAACGCGCTGCGGTTGAAATGCCAGCGGCATTTCTGAGAAGTGCGGTGACATCCTTTGCCTTTATATATGCTTCTCGGGTCAACTGTGACCTCGGCGTGCTACCATTTGCTCTTGGCCACCTCAGTTACTCGCTGGCCCTCGTTTGTGGCTACTCGCTGGCCCTACTCACAGGAACCAACACAAGCCGGTTCTCTTTCTTATTGACACGTATACAAACCAGGTAAGACTGACCTTATCTCATCCAAGCTATAGCACGAAGACAGCACGGTAACAATTTATAGGAACCACTCTAATTACTTTCTGGGACGGTTCTCACGCCAGTTAACGTCGCTTGCTGCGAATGTCTTTCTCCAATCTCTAGTGAAGCATATGCTCACGCAGGGCGACATTATGATGCTCGCAGCCCTTTCAGGGCTGGAAGACCAGGGCATATATTCTCTTGCGTCAAACTATGGCGGGCTCATCGCACGGATTATCTTCCAACCGCTGGAGGAGAGCAGTCGGAACTTATTCTCAGGCCTACTGAGCCCCGATGAGGATGGAAAGCTGAAGAATATCCATGTCCGCACTGCCAGAGATCACCTCGTGGATATTCTACGCGCGTACCAGTTGTTGTCGGTTTTGATATTTCCGTTGGGACCGATGATGGTCCCTCAATTGTTGCATATCTTGGGAGGCCGTCAGTGGGCTTCCGCTAAAGTCGGAGACCTGCTCTCCGTCTATTGCTACTACATTCCATTCCTGGCATTTAATGGGATCACCGAAGCGTTCGTGTCATCTGCAGCAAGTCCGCAACAGATACGGAAGCAAACAGCGTGGATGGGTGTCTTCTCCGCCTGTTATGCCTTGGCGGCCTATATGTTCCTGGAAGTAGGGAACTTGGGTGCGTATGGATTGGTCCTGGGCAACATTGTGAATATGGCGGTTCGAACCTCTTGGAGTTACAGATTTATCAACTCGTACTTCCATCGGAATGGATGTACCCTGTATACGAGTGAAGTCGCCATTCGACCTGCTAGCTTCATTCTGTGTGCTTTGGCGAGCTTCTTCGTGGGCCGCGGATTTGTCCTGAAATTGGGAATCATCAAAGCATGCGCCTTAAGTGGCAGCTATGCTCTCCTTATGTGAGTACTGATTGATCTGATATTGATTTGTCCTTAACGCCTAACCGACAAAAACAATAGAGTCTATATAGAAAGGGAATATTTGATGTGTCAATTCACGAGGCTCCGGCACATGTTATCCTCCAGATCCTCCAGGAAAGATACCAAGTCGGAATGAGCCCAATTAATCGTCAAATGTGATCTTTGTCGCTGTCTTGTCCATATCAACGTCCTTGTAAAAGGCACCGTACACATCGTGCTGCTTCTTCTTGACTGTTGTGCCAAATTTCAACAGAGCCTCTGGTACATCTTGCTTAGCTGCCTTGAGAACATTGATCAATCTATTCACAATTAGTATTGCCCTGATGATTTCTATCATGGATATTAGAAATAGGAGTAACATACCCGCCGGACAGTCCCTTGTCATTTTCAGTGAACATGGTGATGGCAAGGCCCTCAGCACCGGCACGTCCAGTTCTTCCAATTCGGTGCACGTAGTCTTCAACAGTAAGAGGGAAGGTGACATTAATCACAAGTTTCACGTTCGGGATATCAAGCCCACGCGCCGCGACATCGGTTGCGACAAGAACGGTAGCCTGGCCTTTCTTGAAAGCATCAAGATTTCGGAATCTGTCTGATTGATTCAAATCACCGTGGATACCGGCGACTGCGAATCCCTTGTTTCTGATGAGATTCTCAATACGCATAGCCTCCTTCTTGTAGAGGCAGAAAACCAGGACTTTCTCGGGCGATTGACCACGCTGAGATTTAGTGAGCAGTTGCACAAGTCGGCCCTCCTTCTCTCGGCCATCAACAACCTCGACGACTTGCTTGATCCTTGTGTTGGCTCGGGGATCCGCAGACGGGTCTCCGCCAATGGTAACAGTTACCGGGGTCTTCATAAAGGTTGCTGCGAGATCACGAACCGACCGCGGCCATGTTGCCGTAAACATGACAGTCTGTCTCCTGGAGACGGGCATTGGCTTGATGATGTCCTTGATATCCTGCTCGAATCCTTTGTCAAGCATGCGATCTGCCTCATCCAAGACGAGGTAGTTGACCTTTCCCAGATCAATCGAACCATCATTCTGAAGATCCTTGAGACGGCCGGGGGTGGCAACCACAATGGCAGCCTTTTGAAGAGCACGACGTTGTTCATCTTTACCAACACCTCCGTAGATGCACGTCACCTGAGTCTTCTCAGTGCCGCCGAATTTAACAAGTTGGTCATAAATCTGCATTGCAAGCTCTCGCGTCGGTGAAATAATCACTGCCTTGGGCTGACTAGGCTTGCTTGACTTGGAGTCAATCAATTTCTTCAGACACGGCAAGCCAAAACCCAGTGTCTTGCCACTTCCAGTCTCTGCGATACCAATCACATCACGGCCAGCAAAAAGAAGTGGCCATGTAGTGGATTGAATCGGAGTTGGCGCAGGGAAAGACTTCAATTGAGTGTATAGACCGGCATCACATTTAGGTAGGTGATCAAACGAGAGGATTGGGCGGAATTGAGAGGCATCGGGTGAGGTGGGATCAGAGATTTTAATGATGTTTTTGGTCAAAAAACTGTCAATGTCTGCCTGAGGGATCTCGGATAGAGCAGATGAATCAGAATAAGGTCCAGTCTTCTCATCTCCATTTTCCTGCTTATCTTTAGAAGCTTTTGCGGGCTTCTCGGACTTGGACTTTTTCTTCGGTCGCTGCTCAGTTGGCTCTAAATGGCTTCGCTTACCCATGATGAGTATTCTAGCAAGCGAATATGACAAGAGATAAAGGCACGAGACTGAATTCCCTGGATTGTTCCAGCAGAAAAACCAGACGGGGGAAAAAAAAAGAGAGAAAGCAATAGTGTATTGCCATTTATTTCCGCCTTGGTTGGCTTACCGCCTCGTACTCTATAGGACAGAGAACCCTTGGAGTGATGCCTTGTCCAAGTGGTTGATAGCGCATATTGCAGAGTGCTCACAAGTGAGAGGGTGATACCGAAAAATTACTGCTTATGCTTTTTTAAAAATACTAAATAGGAGAGAACGAACAAATATCAAGATGAGAAGCCGTAAATGAGATGATGATGGCGTAGCTTGAGTAGCATACTAGTAATAGTACACATGAACCTGAATAAAAAAGCTCCGAGCGCACATGGAAATAGTAAGCTAGCACAAAGGTGGGCGAAAATATTTCCTCACTTTGCCTGTATTTACTCAATGCTGTAGGAGTCAATGATATTGGCAAGGCGAGAGGCTTCATCTGAGTAATTGATTGCCTGGGAGGACGAGACCTGATATCGCACACTAGATGGCACAATTAGCATGATATTCTCATCATAAAGATTATCGTTATTCCATCGTCCTTACCGCTGCTGGTCGCCGAATGTGTCCATAGAGGCTTTGCACCTGAAGCTCCAGGTCTGGCAATTGGCCCCCTGGAAGACTTCACCAAAAGCACTTGGATCATCTTCGCGAAGTTGCATTAGCTCATCGGCGGATTTGCCCATGATGTTTCTTCCAGTCTCGTCAAAACAGCTGAGCCAAAGCTGGCCAGTATGGTCACTGACACTAATAGGCATGACGTAGCGGTACTCTGGCTTGGGGTGGGTCTTGTCACATTTTTCGCACCGCCACTGCCCTGGATCAAGTTCCGTTACCTTCTTGTTGCAGTTCTCAGAAAGGCAGGCAGGGTAGCACCAGGTGGAATCCTGCTTGATGTAGATCACGGTTGCCTTCAGAGAGAAGTAATCAGGAGTTTCAGACATGCCAAGCTGCTCTTCGCGAACTTGCGCAACGGTTTTAAATCGATCCGTTTTGCCCGTGGCACCGGTCGCATTTGACATTGAAGCATGGGATGTAAAGTTCTCCGACCTGCCTTGAGCGTCATACCAACCTCTGAGTCGGTGAGCCTCTCCAATGTCAGGGTCAACAGTCATTGAGCCCGAACTCAGAAGACTCAGACTTCTTCCACCGAAGTCAGAAACCTTGACTCCCTTGAAGGCCACAACTGACTCGGGCGGCACACTAAAAGTGTTTGCAGATGCTCCCCAAATTGTCAAGCGGACAGAAAATCCCGTGTTATCGACCAGCGTAAGCTCACGTTTGTCGTAAGGTTTGCCGGTGCTCTTTGCTGTAATCTGCGATGTCTCCCCAATATCCTTCAGCACGCCAATGACATCAATGGTTGTGTCTTTTTCAACAGTCTGCAAATCAGCAACAGTGGTGAAGTTGAATCGAATCTGAGGCACATCATTTTGCTCCTCGGCCTATCATAAAATGTGAGCGCTGCATCTGGTTTATGAAGAAAGAGTTGTTACCTTCTCAACGATGGTATCTCTTTCAAATGTAAGTTCATAATCGTTGTTGAGATTCGTGAACTGTTTCTTGGCGATTTGCACCCGACAGGGACTCGAAATGTAATAAACACTGCCCTCCTGGAAGAGTTCATAGAGCATGTCACACTGGTCATTGAAACCGGTTGCACGAATTTCACCACTGTCGTCCAGTAAATTGACACTGAACAGTTTACCCTCACCGTTCTTGTTGTGCCATGTTTTGATGTTGGACTTGCTCGTGCATCGCGCTTTCATCGTCCATTTGTTGGAATACGGGGAGATGGCTTCAATCGGGTAGATTGTGGCATGGGCAGAGGAAGTAGACATAGGAGCAGACATTGGCTGGGCTCGGCTGTTTGGCTGAGCTTGCGCACCTTCCATCTTGGAGCCGTAAAAACCATTGCTGGATATTGTTGTCGGTTGGCCCACTTCCGCTTCCTCAGTTTTGACTTCAAGTGGTTTGGGTTCACCGATTTTGTCGGCCTCGCCCAGTTCCTTTAGCACTTCGAGGTCCAGGATGATGAGGATTCTGTGTGATAGTTAGCACGATCAAAATCGAAAGAATTGCCTCACATACTTCTTGCCCTTGACAGAGTTTGATTGAAATGACTTGAGTCGAACAAAACAGCCCTTCCGGAGGGACCCATCCGTCACCACCGCGTTGGCTTCTTAAAACAGTCAGTAATCCGCATGAGTTACAGAGTATCGAGAGGACAACACATACGAGTAGCGAGCATGGTTTGAACGTAGTTTTCAATATCACTAAAAACAGCTCGGTAACGTTCTGGTTGGTTCGGCTGAGCTGGCAATGCCTTGATCTGGACACATTGAACAATCGGCTCTCGTACTTGGGGTTTGGTTTCATCAAAGATAGCACTGTTAAACATACGATTAACATATATACTGCCAAGTTGATGTATCAAACGGATACAAACCTTAGAGCCCCAATGGTGACTTGGGATGCTGCCTCGGAAGCCATGATATGATGACTTCAGGCACAGTCAAGAAAGAAGTATTGGGAAGGGACTAAAAAGGGATGGAGCGGAGGATGAACCGGGAAAATAAAAAGAGGAAGAAGAAAAATATCACGCAAAGCAAAGAAGACGTGACTTGACAGAGCAAGTCCAAATCAAGTTGCAAAATGGTAGGGACAAGGTTGGAACGCGTGTTGAGAAAATAACGCGTTAAGTGGCCCACCCCCGCCACATGACTAGCTGCCTCAGGACAACATTGATAACAGCACGTGCAGGCGGTGAAGAGCAACCCCACGCATGATAGCTTTGGCTTGATCTGCGGTATCTGATATTCTCTCTTTTCTCGTGCTTCCAATGGGATACTGCCAACCCTTCTGAAGTTTTTGTTAGAAGCTAAGAAGTCTTTATTGACATTTCGTTGAATCCCGAGATCTCCTCTCTGGATATGGCGTCTTGTGTCCATACCGGTGCTGCGGGTTTGTGACATCACCTTGATAACCGAAGGACAAGCCGAGCTAATGGACAACACTCGTTTATAGATCTAAATCCACCAGGACCTTCCCAGGCTGTGTATCGAGAAGATTGCACTCAGTGCTTTGATTCCATTGTATGCCAGCCACCTTGATCCCTATACTCTCCACATCTGGTCTGACTCTGACCTTGCAAGGACGATGTTGCCGGTCTAAATGTTTGTCTCCATTGCTTCAATGGTGGATGTGCTGGAAACAGAGACCATGCCCTGCTTCATTACAACAGGTTTGGCCATTCACTGGCTTTGAACATTCGAAGGACCCCAAAGAAAGTACAGGTACAGCCAACCCTTTAAACATTTCCTGATCTTGTTACCAAAGATTCTCACACCTCGGGTTTATAGCGCGACGAGCCCCCGCCGAAGATTTCAAAGCTTGCCATCGCAGCCGAAACAGAAGAGGATAGGTACGACATTGCTACGTCGGTGGTGTGCTATTCATGCTCTCTTGACAATGTGGACAAAGCCAGTGGCAAGCTTCCGGCTGTCATCGAAGGTGTTATGACTGCAATGACTTTCTCAGCGAAGGAAGAAGTCAAAGCCTGGGAGCAAGAATTTGTTCCATGTGAGCATACGCTCTGTCTGGTTCAACAGGACAACACGCAAGCCGTGTCAACAGGTATTGAATCCCTGCAATACTCAACCGCGGCCCGTGCTAACCAAACTGCAGATTTAAACCATTGCTCAGAGTGTGACTTGGGGGAGAACCTCTGGCTGTGTCTGGAATGTGGGAACAAGGGTTGTGGGCGAAGTCAATTCGGTGGAAGCAAGGGAAACTCACACGGGCTTACTCATGCTAACTCAACATCACATGCTGTGGCTGTCAAGCTCGGCTCCATCACAGCAGAAGGCTCCGCTGATGTCTACTGCTATAAGTGCAACGAAGAAAGAGTAGACCCAGAACTGGCGACCCACCTTGCGCACTGGGGAATCTACTTGGCTGGACGTGAGAAGACAGAGAAGAGTCTGATGGAGATGCAGGTCGAGCATAATTTGAAATGGGAATTTTCCATGACGACCGAGGATGGCCGGGAGCTGGCCCCAGTCTTTGGGCCTGCATTTACAGGCCTAGCGAACCTTGGAAACAGCTGCTATCTGTCCAGTATCATGCAATGCATCTTTTCTGTGGCTGGATTTCGTGAGCGATACTATCAGCTGTCAGAAGAACCACCACTCTGCCAGGCACCAGCACAGGACCTTGAGACACAATTGCGAAAGCTTGCCGACGGTCTACTCTCAGGACGGTACTCTCAACCTGATTCTCGCCTTATGTCGTCCGCAGACAACCCAGAAGTCGCTCATCAGAAAGGTTTATCACCAGCAATGTTCAAGTATCTTATTGGCCAAGGTCATGAGGAGTTCGCAACCATGAGACAGCAAGATGCATTTGAATTCCTTCTTCATCTATTCAAGTCTGTCAGCCTATCGAAACACACCAGTCCGCAGATTAACCCGGTACACGACTTCCGCTTCCAAGTCGAGCAGCGTCTCCAGTGTTTGAATTGCAAGAAAGTCCGCTATAAAGTGGATGAGCAAGATAACATTTCGGTTGCTGTTCCCGCACGTCCTGTTACTACTTCTGGAGAAACAGGGAGGGAATATGAGCCCGTGAATTTGTCAGAGTGTCTAGACATCTTTACTTCGGCGGAGGTCGTTGAGCTTACATGTCCTGCTTGTGGCAGCCAAGGTGGCTTTTCGAAGCAGTCGTCTTTCAAAACATTGCCTCGGGAATTGGTGGTCAATGCTCGTCGGTTTGAGCTCGTCAACTGGGTTCCTACAAAGTTGGATATTCCTGTGCTGGTCGACGATAAGCCACTAGATTTCAGCTCTTACCTTGCTGGTGAGCATGATGCGGGCGAGGAGCTACTTCCGGATATTGAAGAATCCACCGCATTTGTCCCGAATCCGGAA